CCCGACGGCGCCGAGCCGCAGCACGCCCGAGCCCAAATCGCTGTTTCACCGAGCGGCGAGCAGCGAGCGTGGCCCTTCCCGCCCTGGCTTCTCCTTTCCTCCACCCTCCCTTCAACCAGGCTCGGGGGAGCGTCTCCTCTCAGGCCCTGACCGCGCCCCGGCCCCGGCAGCGGGGCCCTGCGCTGTCCCACGCACCTTCGCTCAGCTCCGTTCCTAACCCGCCTGGCAGCTCCCGAGCCCCCCACAGCCCTTACAAAGCCACTTTCCAGGCTAAGTCCGCTCTCCGGCCAGTTGGTCTCGGCCCAGAGCTCTTCTTCCAGGGCAGCAGCTCTCGTGGCCCTCGGGGACTCGTCCCTCGGCATTGCGAGGGCCTCGCTGTTCCTTCGCCGCTGGCATTCAGCCAGGCTAAATCCAACCAAATTCCCGGCCTGCTCCCCTCTGGAGGTGGGTGAACACCTCCGAGACAAAACTAATCGCTCAGGATTAACACCGGAACCGGCCCCCTCTTGCTTCCCTGAGGCTGGCCGGGTTCTCTGAGTGATAACAGCAAGAGCTAAAGGCACCGCGAGAACGAGCAGACGAAGGCTGCCAGGTTCAGGATGTGCAGGAACTCAATCGGCCACGACGGGGAGCCCATATCCCCGGAGACGGATCCCAGGGCTCCTCTTGCCGACCATCATGCCTTCGTATGCAGCCACTGGAGCAACCGGCAGGATTAGGATGGACACGGTCTCAAACCGTGCCTCGTTGCCCCAGTACACAGCGGGTCCCGCTCCCAAGTGCCAGGAGGATGCGCTGCAGCACCAGTGCCATTTCCTTTATTACATGATTAAATCCAAATACAAAATAAGAACCAAAAGAGGAAGAAAAGCGTCTGACTGGGGAGGGCAGCAGCAGAACAGGATCCCCTGTAGCCTGGAAGGCCCTGGACTTGGATCCCCCTCCCTTGGGGTGCTGCCACAGCAGTATGTCCAGTATCCTTCCAGCCCTGCTAGCTGGAGTTCACCTGTTCCACCTTAAGCACCTCCGCGCTGGGGGACTGGGGGCCCTTGTGGACTGGAGGTATCTCGTCCTGGGTCTTCACAGCTTGTGGCTTGGTCAGCGTGCTGTAGATGCCCAGGGCCTGCGGGGAGTGAAAGAGCCATCAGGGAGGAGAGGAGAAACTGGGCACTACTGGCAGAGGGAAGTCAGCCTGTCTCTGGAGAGGGTCCTGGGGGACAGCAGGAAATGTCCTTGCTGCAGGGCCGTGGCAGGACAAGAAAGGACATGCAGTAGGACTGTGACAGTGCAGGCCCCACAGGGCAGGCAGGGATACAACAGCCTCTAAACAGCCTACGTTCAAGGCCTCGATGCTGCCACGCTACGCCGCAACATAAGAAAGCCCTGCTAAGAGCACCTCCTGCCAGTGCACAAAGGTGCCTTCAGGAGATGACCTGAACCCTTGTTCCACGTTCAGTCCTGCTCAAGGCATAGGGACGGACAAGAAAGAAGTAAATTTACACCCCAAAGAGACAGGGAGAAAGTCAGCCTTGTATTTCAGCCCACTGCAGCTGGCCTATTTCAGCCAGCCTCTATTTCAGGTGGGGTGGAGGGAAGGGTCCTGTCTGCTATTGCCACAAGCAGGCTCAGGCCAGCCCCCACGCAGGCCCTCAGGCCCAGCCAGGGATTGCCACAGCAGAGACCCTCCTGCTGCCCCAGAGTGCTGTGAAGCAGGTATTCCAGCCCACAGCTGGGAAATCAATTAATTTCAAACCCACCCACTGGGCCAAATTCCTCCTCTTCTCCACATCTCTCCTTTACTGGCACCACCGCCTCCACCACAATAGCTAGGGGCTGTCACACTGTCACCTTCACTTCCCTCGTGCTCTGGCTAACTCTGGGAAAGGAGAGAAGGTCCCTCTGACCACACTGACCTGCGCAACCATGTTGGTGACGTCACCGGTGTTGGCTGGCAGCAGGACTGTGTTGGAGTCTTTGGCAAGCTTGGAGAAGGCGCTCACGTACTGCTCAGCCACAGAAAGAGAGGCGGCTGCGTTGCCATGCTGGGGAGAGAGGGCTCATCAGCAAGATGATGAGCCACCAAGAGCACATCCACACCCACACCTCCAAAATACCCTGCTCCAGCAGCAGCTTACAAGACTGCAAAGCTCCTTGCTGCCAATGGAGGTGACAGGGAGTGTCCCAGGGAAAGCCAGGCGCTGCCCTAGCCTCGGGTCTACCTCCCCCAGTGCTAGCACCAACGCTTTGGCTGCCCCAAGGAGCCACCACTCACCTGCTGTGCCAGAGCAGCTGCCAGGAGCTGAATAGCCTCAGCCTTGGCCCTGGCCTTGACCAGCATGGCGTTGGCTTCTCCTGGAATGAAGCACGGCAGAGCGCACGTCAGAGCTGCCACTTCACACACATGAAGTCTCCCCTCACAACGATCCTCCCTGCAACGCACCTCCTGCTGCCCCAGTCTGCAGGGCAGCAACACCAGCCAGAGCACAGCCCGAGGGCCCCAGCGGGGAGGAATCAGCCAAAGCGGCCAGGGGAGAACCTGGCTTGCTGGACAGCCCAGCGGAGCACACGGAAAGCGGTGCAGCTTGCTCCCAGAGAGCGTTCCCCCTCAGTACAGAGGACTACAGATCCCCCTAGGGCCTGGCGCTCATGGCACGTTCTAGGCCAAGGCACTACCAGCAGCTTTGTTGATCTGTTCGGCCTTTTCAGCTTCTGACGCCAGGATCTGGGCCTGCTTCTGCCCCTCAGCCACGTTGATAGCAGATTCCCGGGTCCCCTCTGACTCCAGCACTGTTGCCCGCTTCCGTCGCTCTGCCTCCACCTGCAAACACAGGTTGGATGTCCACCTGCCACGGCCAGTCTGGGGACATCCCGTCCATGGGGCAAGCACAGCAAGGGCACGCTCCCATGCCCCTGCTTTGGCAAGCATGGCTGAGCAGGGGATGAGAACATGGCCATGAAACACTGAGTGAGCCCCAGGGAGGGATAGTTCTCCTTCCCAGGCTCAGCTCACTGCAGTGGTGAGCCCAGACCACAATATGCCATGCTACCACGATACTGGGTGTCCTCTTCCTTCTGCCACAGCGACCTAGTGCAGGGTGCTCCCTGTAACAGCGCTGGGCACCGCCAGGGTGTGGGCAACACCCACAGCAATAAGAAGTTGCTTCCAAGAGCAAGCATTGACCCGTTGGCCCGCGCAACCCTATGCAGCCTAGGTCACATTTAACCAGATAGCATGCTTCCCCCTCCTCCCGTTCCAGCGGGGCAAGCAGCTCAAGGCCAATACTAGCCCTGGGATCTAGCTCCCAGGTTTTCTCAAGAGGAGACCCTCCAAGCTCTGGGATTTGCTGCCTTCAGAGCCCTAGGGATTTTAAGGGTTGCTGGCAGGGCTCGTGTGTACGAGGCAGGGGCCACCACTGCAGAAATAAGGATGGGTATTATCTGTTCAATAGCCATATGTTCGCAGCCAAAGTCAAAGCGCTCACAACTTCCCTCACTGCAGGAGAGCCCTAGGCAACCAGCTCTGGAAGGAGAACAGCTATGCTGCACGGGAGGGGAGGCTTTGCTCTCATTCCAGTCTGCCCCAGACCACCAAACCTGCATCTGCATGGATTCCTTCACGCGCGGGGGCACGTGGATATCCTTGATCTCATAACGCAAACACCGGATGCCCCAGTAGTCTGAGGCCTGGTTGATGGCATCCACAATGCTGGCATTGAGGGACTCACGCTCCTGTGAGGCACAAAAGAAACGGCAGAGAGGAGAGAGAGGAGCGCAGCATGAGATAGGGGTCAGAAGGGAAACAGTCAGACACCTCCCTTCATGGGCCAAGGTCATCCAGAAAACCCGAGTTCCACAGGGGCAAAGCAGGGCCAAGCTCTTCCCACATTTCACACGAGTAGGAGTCGCCTTCTCCTGGGGCAGGCAGTGCCCAAAGCTGGAACTGGTGAGAAGCAAACATCTGGTGTACATCTGGATATAAACACCTCCCAGGAGCACAAACAGCGCCTGCTTCTATCCACATACGCAGCACAAGGGTTTTAGATACCCTGAGCCGGGTCCAGCCAGCTCATCACTGGGCTTGGAGCAAAGAGCCACTGACTCAAGAAGGACAAAGCCAAATCAGCCGGGTCTGGGCACACAGCACCCATTGTCTTTTCTGACTAACCCAGGACAGAGCAAAAACAGCTCCCATCAAACAGAACAATCGAAGCAAGACCCATCCCCAAAGGGTCCAATGCTGACAGGCCAACTGAAGAGGATGCCAGAAGCACTCCAAGCAAAGGGAGTTTTGCTGTTAAGTGAAGGGAGTTTTGCTGTTAAGTGCATCAGACTGTCCGCACAGGCCCTGCAAGGATTTGAGAGATGCTGCTACAAGCGGGCAGCTCCGTGACCCCTCCCCCAGCTCACCCGGAAGACTCTGTCGAGGGAGAGTTTGCCCAGTTCAGATCTCATGGTAGTCTGGGCCAGCTGGGTCACTGCGTACTCAGGATCCTCCACCCCGTAACTGGCCTGGACAGCAGGAAAAACAAAAGAATTTGTGGGGGTGCTGAAAGAGACCCTCAAAGAGGCAGAACCAGCAAACAGCACTAAGGCCAGAAGCCTACCACAAACACCCCTGCCAAGGAAAAGCAGAACCTGGAGCCAAGATCTGCCTTCCCCTCTTCCCTCTCACAGAGAGGCCCCAGGGAACGGGGTGCTCAGCCCCCCAGCCTCGCAGGGCACAGCGTGTCGGACAGAGGCTGAAGCGCACGTTTTAGAAAAGTGAGCCAGGAGAGCTGGGCGTGCTGCCCCCAAGGGTCTGCCAAGGCAGCTGGCTGGGCGACGCACCACACACAGACCAGGCCTGGAGCAGTCACAGGCTCCCAGAGGCTGAAAGTTGCTTCATGCCTCTAGGTTTAGGATGGGTCTTAGCAGAACGGGGACGGTACCTTGTAAGGGTCCATGACCCGCAGATAGAGCACACCATCAATCTGCAAGGTGACATTATCTGCCAGGAAAGAATGGCATATCCCTCAATGGAGCAGCAAAGTAAAGCAACAGCAAAAGCTCCCTCCCCTGACAGAATTAGCAGAGCTGGGCAGGGCCGTCCCCTTCCTTCACGGTGTCGGCAACACAGCATAGACAGAGGGAGCAGCTCAAATGGATCTCCTGATGTGAAAGGCTTCGTAAAAAGGCACTGACACTACATGTAAAATGTCTCATTTTGACGTTTTTACGCACAAGAAGTCTCAAGTTTCCAGATCAAAACATTTTATACTGTAGTTACCTTAAGATACTAAAGAAGCAAACAAAAAAAACCCTTAATACTGGAATTGAAAGACAGACCTCAATTAAACAGATTTGAAATTTTTACAGGTCTTGTACAAAAACTGAGGACAGATTTTTCCTAGTTCAATGCTGGAAAACATCCGAGATCTGAAAAACGAATTTCTGCCCACCTCCACTCAACCCATGCTGAGAATGGGCAGCAGCAGCCCAGAGAAGAGGGCAAGAGGGACCTCCTAGGGTTCCTCCAGGCACAATGCCACTAGTACGGTCAAACCAGATCCCCAAGGACAGGGCTGACTGTATGAGGCTGGGACATTTCCATTCTTCCCTGCACTCTCCCTTGCTCCTCCCAGATGCAGCAAAAGGAAAGGAGCAGGACAAAGAAGCTTTTCCTTACCCAGGGTAACGGCAGACTGCTCTGGGACGTTAATGACTATTTCCTTGAGACTCTGCACATAACGAATCCGATCCAGCAGAGGGATGAGAAAGTTCAAACCCTGGGAGAAGAAGAGTAGTTAAGGCTCAGATTAGATCACTGAGCCCAGAAACCAGGCCATATTTTTCTACCCAGACAGCTCAGCCATACTAGAAAAGGCTGTGCAAAAAAAGCCCAAGTGCACTACGTGCTACAGATACTTCAGGCAGAACAAGCATGCTTCGCGCACAGGGAGAATTTAGGTTTCTCACTGCTTTCAATAGCCCACCAAAGAAAATTAGACCACAGACAATCAAAAGAATTGCAATCTAGAAGAAGAAACACAGGTGCTCCAACCATCCCCTAAGTCCCCGTGCAAAGTACATGTCTCACTACAGCTATAGGAACCTGCTGAATCCAGAAGGGGAGAAAAGCGGCTCCTTACAGGCTCGAGTATTCGGTGGAACTTGCCCATCCTCTCCACCACCCAAGCCTCCTGCTGCGGCACAAAGAGCACTCCGATGTTCACGGGCAGGCCTGAGTTCCAGCGCTGCGGCGCCGGGGCCAGCCGCGCTAAATGCTTCAGCTGTTGGGAGCGCTGGAGAAAGGAAGAGGAATAGGATGAAGAACTGCAGCTACGAGCCTGACTCCACTCGCTCGCGCAACCCTTCCTGCCCGTGTGCTGCACTGGGCAGCCTTGCTGCTCGCAGGCTACAACCCTCTTCCAGCCTGTGCTCTCCTGTCTGGGCTTGCTGTTGCCAGCCCCGATGCACGGGGCAGGAACCGGCGTCGAGCCCCCGCCAAGCACGCACCGGGAGGGGACGTGGGTTGTGCCCACAGGGACGAGCCCCGGACCGCAGGGACTCCAGAGGAGGTGCGGGCATCACGACCTTCCCCAGAGGCCAGCAGAGGTACGAAGCCCACCGCCTCTACCTCTGCCCTTCACACCCCCGCTTAGGGCGGGAGGGGC